CCTCCTAAGATCGACCCTAGCGTGACGATGATGACGGTCGAAGACAAACCGGACGTGACGTACGGCGATGTTGGTGGATGCAAGGAGCAGATTGAGAAGCTGAGAGAAGTTGTCGAAATGCCTTTGCTGTCACCAGAACGATTCGTTAACCTCGGTATCGATCCGCCCAAGGGTGCGCTGCTGTACGGTCCTCCCGGTACTGGCAAGACCCTCTGCGCTCGAGCAGTCGCTAACCGGACCGACGCCACGTTCATCCGTGTTATCGGTAGCGAGCTGGTTCAGAAGTACGTTGGTGAAGGCGCACGAATGGTTCGAGAGCTCTTTGAGATGGCCCGGACCAAGAAGGCATGCATCATCTTCTTCGACGAAATCGACGCGGTCGGTGGTGCTCGTTTTGATGATGGAGCTGGCGGTGACAACGAGGTTCAACGTACTATGCTTGAGCTGATTACACAGCTGGATGGTTTCGATGCCCGTGGTAACATCAAGGTCATGTTTGCAACCAACCGACCGTCGACCTTGGATCCTGCCCTGATGCGTCCTGGTCGTATTGACCGCAAGATCGAATTCTCGCTTCCCGACGTTGAAGGTCGCGCCAACATCCTCCGCATTCATGCCAAGAGTATGTCAGTTGAGAGAGACATCCGGTGGGAGCTGATCTCCCGACTGTGCCCTAATGCTACGGGTGCGGAATTACGGAGCGTTGCCACAGAAGCTGGCATGTTTGCGATCCGGGCGCGGCGGAAGGTTGCCACGGAGAAGGACTTCTTGGCCGCTGTGGACAAGGTCATCAAGGGCAACCTCAAGTTCAACTCGACGGCGACATACATGCAGTACAATTAGATGGCGTCGTCTTTATGCATCTTGGGTTACATTGCATGGCTGGATGGATGTATGATCAGATTTAGCTCGGTGATTCGGTCTATGATGCTTCCTTAATATGATCTACTGTGCATTATCAGATGCCAACATACTCGCGGTGTACTAGTTGTGTCCCAGTAAGTCGATTGATCGGTTATATGCGATATACGTAGTCACGTGATTCCGCACCAACGCATAGCCGACTTCCACCCATACTGTGCTAAGAATATGTTCAGCTTTTCAATTTGGCCTAGAGAATAAAGTGTAGCTACTTATTGAATACTTGAAGCTCATCTATAAATCACCCCGTCTCATCGTCTCCATCGGCCACCCACCCCGGAATTCCTCGCTGCTGCCGGGTTAAATAGAAGACCGGCCACGTGCCTTGCCCTTTTCGGCCAATGAGAAGCTCCCGGCTGCCCGAGGTGATTACTACTGCGCACCAGTTGATTGGCTATCTCGGCCCCGGCCCTCGCCGTCGGCAACTGAGGGAAGATTATGTCAGCCAACTCTTCCTGTTCTTCTGAGAACCGACGATCCAAAAGTGCAGCTCGTGAATACGACCTCATCTTGCCTGTTCTCCCCTCCTCCTCCCACTAACAACTGCCTTGGTGCTGTTGGTCCTCCTCATCTAATAGCCTCCTCTCAGAGTCATATACAATAGTGTCTCTTTTCTTTTGATCCTCCCACAATGAGCTCCCTGAGCTTGCGGAGCCTAGCTCCCGCTTCGAAGGTCGGTTACCCGAGGGTCTTTGTCCATCCTTTATTCTGTACTGTTGCCGTGCTGACTCGCATATTTGCGCAGATTTCCCGTGCTTTGAGGGACCAGAGACGTCTATTCTCCTCGACAAGGCCAGCAGGTACCATTGAATCCCGCGAAGTTTGACCTCCCCACTGTTCACTAACTCCGTTCTTCCAGCCCGCATATTCGCCAACCGCCCTTTGCGCGCCAAGGAGGCTAGCGGTTACATTTCCTCGAAGTATCCTGTCATTGTAAGTGACTGTCGCATTGACATGGAAACGAGCTGGTCTAATTGACGGTAGGACCACGAATACGATGCTGTTGTTGTCGGTGCTGGTGGTGCCGGTCTGCGTGCGGCCTTCGGGCTGGCGGAAGCCGGGTTCAACACTGCCTGTGTCTCGAAGCTCTTCCCTACAAGATCTCACACTGTTGCCGCGCAGGGTGGTATCAACGCTGCTCTGGGAAAGTATGCCAATGAAATGATGGAGTTATATCTTGGATGATTGCGCTAATCTCGATGTGCAGCATGCACCCTGACGACTGGAGATGGCACATGTACGATACCGTGAAGGGTTCCGATTGGCTTGGTGACCAGGACGCCATCCACTACATGACCAGAGAGGCTCCCGCTAGTGTTCGTGAGCTCGAGGGCTACGGATGCCCCTTCTCCCGTACCGAGGATGGCCTTATCTACCAGCGTGCTTTCGGTGGTCAGTCCAAGGAATTCGGCAAGGGTGGTCAGGCCTACCGTTGCTGCGCCGTCGCTGATCGTACTGGTCACGCTCTTCTCCACACTCTCTACGGACAGTCTCTGCGCCACAACACTAACTACTTCATCGAGTACTTCGCCCTGGATCTGCTGATGGAGGATGGTGAGTGCCGTGGTATCATTGCCTACAACCAGGAGGACGGTACCCTGCACCGCTTCAAGGCCCACCACACTGTTTTGGCCACTGGTGGATACGGACGTGCCTACTTCAGCTGCACATCTGCCCACACTTGCACTGGTGACGGTATGGCCATGGTCGCCCGTGCTGGCTTGCCCAACCAGGATCTTGAGTTCGTTCAGTTCCACCCAACTGGTATCTATGGTGCTGGTTGCCTGATCACCGAGGGTGCTCGTGGTGAGGGTGGTTATCTGCTCAACTCCGAGGGTGAGCGTTTCATGGAGCGTTATGCCCCCACCGCCAAGGATCTGGCTTCTCGTGACGTCGTCTCTCGTTCCATGACCCTCGAAATCCGTGAGGGCCGTGGTGTTGGTCCCGAGAAGGACCACATCTATCTGCAGCTGAGCCACCTGCCCGCTGAGCTTCTGCACGAGCGTCTGCCCGGTATCTCGGAGACCGCCTCCATCTTCGCTGGTGTCGACGTCACCAAGCAGCCCATCCCCGTCCTGCCGACCGTCCACTACAACATGGGTGGTATCCCCACAAAGTACACCGGTGAGGTCTTGACTGTGGATGAGCAGGGCAACGATAAGGTTGTCCCCGGTCTGTACGCCTGTGGTGAGGCCGCCTGTGTCTCCGTCCACGGTGCCAACCGTCTGGGTGCCAACTCCCTCCTCGATCTCGTCGTCTTCGGCCGTGCCGTTTCTCACCGTGTCCGTGACATCGCCACCCCTGGCAAGGCTCACCGTGAGCTGAGCCCCGACGCTGGTGCCGAGTCCATCAAGGACCTTGACTTCGTTCGCAACGCCGATGGCCCCAAGTCAACTCACGAGATCCGTAACGCCATGCAGAAGACCATGCAGACTGATGTCAGCGTCTTCCGTACCCAGGAGAGTTTGGACGAGGGTGTTCAGAAGATCACCGCCGTCGACAAGATGTTCGATCAAGTCGGTACCAAGGACCGCAGCATGATCTGGAACTCTGACCTTGTCGAAACTCTGGAACTTCGTAACCTGCTCACTTGCGCGTATGTATCCTTTTAGCTCTCAATTTTTCAGGATAGATGCTTACAAGATGATCCTCTAGTACTCAAACCGCTATCGCCGCCGCCAACCGCAAGGAGTCTCGCGGCGCCCACGCCCGTGAGGACTACCCCGAGCGTGATGATGAGAACTGGATGAAGCACACTCTCACCTGGCAGAAGAAGCCTCACGGTGAGATCGACCTGAGCTACCGTGCTGTCGAGCACAAGACCCTCGACGAGAATGAGTGCAAGAGCGTGCCTCCCTTCAAGCGTGTCTACTAGATACATTTCTCTGCACTTGATGTGATCTCAGCATTCACATGTCTTTAATGAGGCTGGAGTGGCCACAGGATCCGAGTCAACCTCAAGATAGGAACCACAGGCTTTTCGATCCATCAGCCCTTAATTGCTTTGCTGAACTGTGGAGGATGGATTTATCAAAAGGAGCGTCATGAAAATTCTGCATTTCCCTGTGTTATATCTGTATATCCATGTTTTCCCTTTCAGGCGATGAGTTAGGTGTACTCACGTTATTTGTTTTCATAGCAGTTTCTCATATACAATTGGAGTTTCTTTTGCGTCAGGATAGGGCTATCCAATCAACTTAGAATTTCTTCAATATAAGCCGCTATATGACAATCTGGAGGCTCACTGGATGACCTGGGATAGTCTCTTAATTCCTGCTGCTAGGTATGTGACCTCGAGATTTCTTTGGCTTTGACTTTAGTGGAAACTGGCCTAATCCGGTTACGCAGTGTCTTCCCGGCCCTTTTCTTTGTCTGCCAGTCCTCGTCTTAAGACAAAGAAATCACTCCAACGGCCCGTCGAATGCCTGCGATTAGATACTGGTCGTCAAACAACATCAGCAAGTCAATGGGGCTACGTCCTTTCAGTGGACTTGGATTCAGTGATGTCTAGCAGCTCAAGCCTGACTAAGGTAGTGACGCAAAGCGCAGATCCTTCGAGTCTAGACGAATGCCACTATTGCAACCATAGTTCCCTTTTTCGAGTCCGACAGTGAAGGATGAGGCATCACCTGTCATCGGCTACGAGCCCTGAGTCTGTAATCCTTGTGGAGGCTGGTATTGACTTCATAGATCGAATGATTGTGCACCGAGGACATCGCCCCGACTCAATATTTTTGGCAGACAAAGAACTCGAGTCATTGAGTCTTTGCCACTTCGTATGGCTATTTGCTTTGGCGTGGAATTGTTTCAGAACGACTTGCATAGCCATGCTTTCCCAAGAAAAGTAACAATGCTCATTGCACTTCGTACTTCCTTTTACCTTTCTTGGATCAGAACGACCACATGGCGCTCGACTCCATGGTAACGTAACCACTGTCGCGGTGACCTCTCAAGATCTCGCTCTTCATGCCTTCGTTCGTTTTTGTTGTCTTCGCTGTCTTTCCAATTTATTGGTTCTATCTTCTGCGAGTGCAAGTGGAAGTGTAGTTGACTTATTTGACGTCTCAGTCGTCTGAGAGATGACCCTCCATCTCGTCCGTCAAGCCAACACTTGCACCGGCAGCAAGCAATGGTATGTCTGCTCCAAGGGCAACTTCCGTGGCTGTTGTTCAGTCGATCCGTGCAATACGGGTGTATGCCCGGATCAAGAAAGCCAGACTACATCGTCGACTGCGACTACTTCAACCACCTCGAGAGCTGCCTCAACTACAACGACGACCTCGCCAACGGCAGCTATCACCACCGCACCGTCTACAAGCTCGCTGGGAGACATCCCAGGCATCATTCCGACTCGGACTGTGACTCAGGCTGTTGCACCGGCGACAGATACTGATACTGCCGATGCGAGTCATGGAAGTGACCACGCCGCATTGATCGGGGGTGTTGTAGGAGGTGTACTAGCTTTGATACTGCTAAGCGGGCTGTTATTCCTGGTTTGTCGGTCTCGCAAGAAGCATGGTAAACGGTTCGTTTTGCTGCGCTGGCGTGTCCCTCGTGGCGAGAGCCACGAGAAAGGGTCGACAGTTGCAAGCAGTAGAGGTCTGGGGTCAGGGAACGAGGGACGATTACTTGATGGTGAGATACACGCCTCCTACATGAGTTTTGCTGCGGTAAAAAGCTGACCGTGCTTCACGCTTAGTACCGAACAGCAACACGCCAACCAACGCAATCATCAACCAAGCCTTAACGCTGCCCGCCTCAGAACCAGCATCCGCAACGTCAATCACCATAAGCCAACCGTCCACTTACGCAAACACAAACACAAGCAAAATCTCAGCACCGGCTGAGACAACCCACCACAGCTCCGTATCCTCTTTACCACCAGCATCATCCACAACGAACCACCCCTCCGCAGATCTCAACCTCAACCTAAGCACAAGCACAAGCACAAGCACCAGTCCAGGGCCAGCCCCAGACCGAGCAGACACAACCCCCGAACTCTCAGACACAGGCTTCTACCGCCAACGCGCCGAGCTAGCAGCCTACTCCCACCGCGAACTCATCAATATCCCTCCCGAGCGCCGCCAGGTGCTCCCCGTGCAGCATGCCAATTCCGAGATAGATCAGCCCGCTCAACCACAGCTGCCGTCGATCATCACGCCGGACGGGGTGATTCTGGGCGCCAACTTTGATTACAGGGTTCCTGGCGACGATCCGTACCCTGGTTCTGGGGAGGAGATCGGCCATGTGCTTAGTTTTATGCATTTTGAGGAGGGAGGGCGGAGGGAGGAGTGGAGGAAGAGTTTTGAGAGTGGGACGGGGGTGTGAGTTTTGTTGACGTTGGCGGTTGGGTTGCTGCTCTTGTGCTGGGTGGTTGGTCTCGGTGATTGCATACCCAGTGTCTATTGCTGGTTGCTTTGATGCATTTGATATTTATCTGTGTGACGTTTGTGGTAATTTGATATAGATTAATTGTTGGCTAGAGAGGACCGAAATGTATTCTATATACCTACTAAAACATATAACCCGAAAGAGCTAGCTTTTCATTCCCTAAGACAAAATATTACAACAGATCATATTCTTACAACAGACCCCTGAGGACAGCGGTCTGCTCCAGCACAGCACGGCGGCTGGTACCGCCGACCGCATCCTTCAGCTCAACGGCACGCTCGTAGTCCAGGCAAGCCTGGACATCCTCGTCGAAGCGCGCGTCAACCGCCTTCAACTGCTCGAGCGACAGCGTGTCCATGGGGACATTGTTCTTCTCGGCCAGGGCGACGACCCGGCCGGAGATGTGGTGGCCCTCGCGGAAGGGGACGCCCTTGCGGACGAGGTAGTCGGCGATTTCGGTGGCCAGCATTTCGGGCGCCAGGGCGGCGGTCATCTTCTCCGGGAGGACGGTGAGGGTCGAGAGGACGCCGGTGGCGATCTGGATGCTGTCGCTGACGGTCTTGATGTGGTCCAGCAGGGGCTCGACGCTCTCTTGCAAGTCTTTGTTGTAGGTGGTGGGGAGACCCTTGATGGTCATCATCAGGCCGGCCATGTGGCCGAAGGCGCGACCGGCCTTGCCACGCAGAAGCTCCAGGCTGTCTGGTCTCGTTAGTTGAAGTCAAGAACGACAGCAAACAAAAGCAACTCACCTGCGTTCTTCTTCTGAGGCATCAACGACGAGCCGGTCGAGTAGGCGTCGGACAACCGGACGAAACCAAACTCCAAACTGCTGTAGATGATCAGATCCTCGGCCCAGCGAGAGATCTTGAGCATGAACGAGCTTCCCCACTGCATGGTCTCCATGGCAAAGTCGCGGTCGGCCACCGCGTTCATCGAGTTGTACAGCAAGCCCTCGAAGCCCAGCTCCGCGGCCATCGCTTCCCGGTCGATCTGGAAGGGGTTTCCGGCCAGAGCGCCGGTGCCCAGGGGGCTGCGGTTGACACGCCGGGTGACCTCCCGCAGACGCTGCAGCTCACTGGCGAAGGCAGTAGCATGCGACAGCAGCCAGTGGCTCCACCGCACGGGTTGGGCCTTCTGCAAGTGTGTGTAACCGGGCATGATGAAGTCGAGCTCGTTCTCGGCGCGCGCGATGGACACCTTGATGAGGTCGCACAGGACGGCGTCGAGCTTGCGCAGCTCGTCCCGCAGCCACAGGCGCATGTCGGTTGCAATCTGCTCGTTGCGGGACCGGCCGGTGTGCAGCTTGCCTCCGATCTCCTTGCCGATGATCTCGGAGAGTCGGCGCTCGTTGGCTGTGTGGATGTCCTCGTCGTTCTCCTTCACGACGAAGGTGTTGGTGCTCCATTCCTCGGCGATCTGCTTGAACCCGCGCTCGATCTCGGAGAACTCGTGCTGGGTCAAGATGCCGGTCTTGGTATTGGCTCGGGCGAAGGCAAGCGAGCCGGCAATGTCCTGCTTCCAGAATATACGATCATAGGGGAGGGATTGGTTGTACTGAACCATCAGGGGGTCGAGGCCCTCTATGAGTCAAAAGATAAGTAGGTTAGTTGTATTCAGAGGCATTGAAACTGCGATAGGGGGTACACACGGGTGAATCGACCACCCCAGAGCATGTTCTCTGCGACAGACTTGGGAGCACTCATTGTGGAAGCTGTAGACGAAGCAATTGATGAATTGAAGAGGAGAGTGTTGCGAGAAGGAGGTGATGGACAGGAAGGAATCCAAATAATTATTCGGTGATTCACGCGGGGAGCGACATCGGCGCTAACCGGATGGGGCCGATTCTTATCAACAATGAGTCACAACTTACTCTTGTCATAGCCATAGAGTGTTGATTTCTATCTATTACTCTTGCATGCGCTCGATATACATGGTATTCTGATAATATGGGCTTATGTTGCCTCACGAGCGTTGCAATGGTCCGCTGTCGGAGTACGGTTGGACGAGTTCAGCCGCCACGCTATCAGTCAATCTTCAGTTGACATAGATGCTGCAAATATTATCATCTGAGGGCTGCAAGATCACTATCATATTGACAGCTATGATACAACAAGCAATATATATGTGATACAGAATGTTCTGACAACACAGTACAGGTCGAAGGCGGATACGATCCAAGTGAATAGCAAGACGCAGGGTGAGAATCTAGAGATCTTGGATCGAGCAAAGCAGTCAAATGGCCAATGGGCTAAAATGGTACAAGACATATGGATGACGGTGCAGGGTCAAGCTGCTATCACTGCCGCAAACAATCCCTGAATATGTGTTAGGGAACTCCTATATACAGCTCTCAGGGTCAAGCGGAATGGACCGATTATGGGAAGTCTTGCTGATGCACGAACCACCTACATTCCGACCGAGTAGCATGACGATAATGAACCGAGAAGCAAGTCTGGTAGGGGAAAAGGAATTTGAAGAGTCCGAAAAAGCGAAGTACCTCAAATCTCGGTTATTCCACCATATATTGACCAAATATCTCCCTCACTCAGCAACTAATAGAGGCCTTACCTTTGCCATCCTCCGATCTACTCAGCAATGTCTGATCGTGAAGTCGTTAGCCTTGGGAATCGGAGACAGGAAGTGGTCAACTGGATCCATGGACTAGATCGGATCTCGACTTCTTTAGGCGCCGAAGAAGGGCAAGAACATTAGGACACGGTCAATGAGCTTGCCATATCTGGTTCACTTGGGCAACTCGCTCGAGGATACGATGTTAAGAAACTGATCTACCACGCATCGGAGGGCCGCGTTGATCAAGTATTCTCCAAGCCAGAGAGGATCCCCCCCCCCCCCCCCCCCCCCCCCGATGCACGCAAGCCATAGAAGGGTCTAATGGTGAGCGTACAGAATGGAGAGAAATCTGAAGCCTTTAGCCGTGCTTGGATCATCGAATATCTCACGACCTGCCTCTTATTCCACTACGTGTGATGTGAAAAGATTGCTGGAATCCCAGAGAATCCCTTACCAGTGCAACTAGCCAAAGAACTGCAAAGTACAGGGCACAGCCACAGATGCAACAGTTTCTGTAAAAGAAGATAAACTTTGGCTCCTCATATGCATCAGCCACCGCATGCCCTAATAGAGTATTGATTTTCTCATGATAGTGCGGTGTATCTCCCTTGCTTGGACGGCAACTCCGATATCCTTTGAAGGACAGGAATCAAACAGATCTCCAGCCAATGGTTCCAATCTCTTTTGGGTCCACATGGAGTTGCAATGTACATACTGGTTTTGTATCATGCGGAGGTTTACAGATGGGAAATACTGACAGTCAAAGAATGAAGAGATGAGGCGCTCTGTTTGCTACCTAGCAAAGACCACTTTTCAGCAAACAAATGTATATTCCCGAAACAGTGTGCCAACATATCTTTGTTCAGGGCATGCGTCTTTGATTCTCTGTCATGGTTGAGATGCCTTGAAATCCAACATGAGGCTCAGCGAGCTCTGCTTCTGCTGGATATATATATGATAGTTCTCTCCAAACTCCCATCTGTCTACGGATCTTCGTGGCACAGCTTTCCCTCTATATGTTTGATATATCTATTCCACTTTGGATGTTTGCCTCTTCTACACTATATACTTTGTTACTTCTCTTCTTCTCTTCATGCTTAGCATTTGAGTTGAATGCTACCATCTTCTCCTGCCCGGGTCGAGTGTCATAGTATACACTTTATGCTGGACAACGCATCGCCAGCTTCGTTTCAACACTGAGATACCTCCAATATATGTTCTCTCTCCGCTTATTACCACTCCTCTTTTACCAGCAGAGCGGGCATGCAACTGAACTCCCGGCGTCAGTCTCGCGACAGATGGATTGCTTCAACGGCAGATTCCTTCGGTCATGTTTATACCCAAAACAACGCCCCGGACCATGTAGGCAATACATGAGGGGCTACCATTGAAACGAAAAAACAACGCCAGCAACGGATGTTGTGCTGCTGCTTCGAGATAGTGCCTGAAGCGGGTTGAACTTCATGAGGAAGCATCCCATTGATTGTGTGCGACACGGAATCTCGCATCAGATGCCAGTGTGCTTCTGTTGGCCCTTGCAGCGTCTACCTACACTTCTTGTCAAGTTTCAATGGGATTATGAGTGTTATGACACTATGGCGCTTCGCCCTGTGAACACCCCATACATGGGACTGAACGGCGCAACGAGCATTAGGACAGATTTCCTCAGGAGTGACTTAGTTATATGTTTCTTTTTCTATGGTTCATGCTAGCATGTAGTGCAAGATATGTGATTGCAATCAATCAGGTTGAAGAGAGCGAAGAAGTCGGGAAATGAATGCAACTATACGCTCTGCTCTATACTTACTCCTGCTTCTATGTAAAGCTTGCAGGACTAGAGTCCGCTATTCACTTATACTTCTATCAGAAGTTTACATATACGTACATCGACAACCAAATGGGTGAACTGTGGGCTCCATAAACCACTGCACTCGACTGCGGTATCACCATGGTGTGTCGTATCTCTACGCATGATTCTGATTATATTGAATCTAATTGGTGTTTGTTCGCGCCTGTGATTTGTTTGCTATAACCCCTGCTCAGCCTAGCGGCGTCTGACGACTCTGTTGGTGGCTAATTCTTCGGCATGCATTTATTGGGCACCGGATTAGCTTGCGATTTGACTGGACTCACTGGGTAAAACACAGCCTTGCCTCCAGCCTCATGGAGCTGATTGCCCCTCCTACACCAAATCACCTGCAACGGAACGTACCGACAACATTCACCGCATGATGAGAGACAGCGAGTGTCGTATGTTGGTGTGCTATATCCTCGGTAACTCATGAGAATGGCCCCCCGAATACTATCACACAGCGACTATACAGCGGCATGGATCTGCGCTTTGCCGCTGGAAACAGCAGCGGCGAAGGTCATGTTGGATGAAGTTCATGCTTCATTACCTCAACCAGAAACCGATCACAACGTCTACACTCTCGGAACCGTCAGCTGCCACAATGTGGTCATGGCCTGCCTACCTTTGGGTGTATACGGAACGATATCTGCTTCAACTGTAGTGTCGCACATGGTTTCTACCTACCCGAATATCCGGTTTGGATTGATGGTCGGCATTGGAGGGGGAGTTCCCAGCAAAAGTACTGACATTCGCCTTGGTGATGTCGTGGTTAGCAAGCCAACTGCTACCTCAGGCGGCGTTATCCAGTATGACTACGGCAAAACACTCAGTGGAGGACATTTTCAGCGCACTGGATCTCTCAACAAACCTCATCCAATCTTGTTAAAGGCTGTGGCTCAATTGGAGAGTGACCGTATGACTGGAAAGAACCTAGTCAGCAAAAGCATAGGTGATGTACTGCAGAAAGAAGAAACCAGAAGGAAGTTCTCCCGACCAGAATGCGACTGGCTGTTCCAATCGACATATGACCACAAGGCGAACGAAGCAAACTGTTCAGCGTGTGATCAGAAACAGCTAGTAGATCGGCCTCCACGAACAACTGCTGAGCCTTACATTCATTACGGCTTGATCGCTTCTGGAGATCAGGTCATAAAAGATGCAAGGACTCGAGATTTCATTGTCCAAAATGAAGACATCCTCTGCTTTGAAATGGAAGCTGCTGGTCTCATGGATGAACTCCCATCCCTTGCCATTCGAGGCATCTGCGACTACTGTGATTCCCACAAAAATAAACAGTGGCAAGAATATGCAGCCCTTGCGGCTGCCGCCTACGCGAAGGCCCTCCTGTCACAGGTTCCTACTTCCTACTCCGGGAAGGAATTAGGTGCATCAAAGGAATCAGTTTGGATGGTCCCCTTTAGAAAGAACTCGCGATTCGTGGGCCGGGAAGAAGAAATCAGCAAAATTGAAGGATTGATCATGCAACAGGACAGTCCAGGCAGGATTGCTATCTGCGGACTAGGCGGAGTTGGAAAGACCCAAATCGCGCTTGAATTGGCATACCGCATGCGAAATCGAGATCCTGAATGCTTGATTTTGTGGATCTCATGCACCAGCTATGAGAGCGTGGAGCAGGCTTATATGAGCATCGCATTAAAGCTTGGAATCACGGACCCAAAGCCGGCAGAGGTCAAACAACAGCTCAAGGCTTATCTTAGCCAGGAAAACACGGCGAGATGGCTTCTCATTTTTGATAATGCAGATGATATGGAGATGTGGACAATGGCAGACTTTCTGCCTGAGAGCGAGCGAGGCCACATTCTCTTCACCACGCGAAGCCGGCAGATAGCCGTGAGATTGGCGTCATCTCATGTGATAATGATCTCTGAACCGGACACAGAGACTGCTGTTGAAATCTTACGAAAGTCACTGATTAAGACTGACTTGCTTAATGATCATGAGGCAGCCATTGCTCTCCTTAAAGAGCTTGTCTGTCTTCCACTAGCAATCACCCAGGCGGCAGCGTATATCAATGAAAAAGATATTAGACTTTCTGCATACACCGCACTCTTACATGAGAGTGAGCCAGATGTGATTGAGTTGCTGAGTGAAGACTTTGGGGACGAAGGGCGGTACAAAGATATCCAGAATCCTGTTGCAACAACTTGGTGGATTTCATTCCAACAAATTCAGCAGTTGAATCCAACAGCAACTGACTATCTATTATTCATGGCCTGTATCAACCCTCGCCACATTCCGCAGACTTTGCTTCCCCAGACGACATCGTTAAAGAAAAGGACCGATGCCATAGGTCTTCTTAAGGCCTTTTCATTTGTAAATGAGGAGGGCGAAGCCTGTTCTCTGAATATTCACCGACTCGTCCATCTTACCACCCGGAATTGGATGAGGAAGAACCAGCTGTTCAGCCAGCAAATTCTAAAAACGGCTGATCAAGTAAGTGAAGCCTTTCCAGATGATGACCATACTAATCGGAAGCTGTGGCGGGAATATCTACCTCATGTTCTTTCATTAATCGGAGAAATTGAATTTCGACAGGAGCAGGAGAGATACGTTGATATGCTTGAGAAGATTGGGGATTGCCTTCACAGTGATGGGAGATATAAGGCAGCAGAAGAACAGTTTTTGCGGGTGGTAATGATCCGGAAGCAGGTGCTGGGGCCAGAGCATCCCAAGACTCTGACTAGCATGACTAACATGACAGTAACATACTGCAGTCAGGGACGATGGAAGGAAGCAGAGAAGCTAGAAGTGGAAGTATTGAAGGTGTGTAATCAGGTACTAGGGCCAGAGCATCCTTCTACTCTGGCCAACATGGCTATTTTGACAACAACATACTCGAGTCAGGGACGGTGGAAGGAGGCAGAGGAGCTGGGGTTAGAATTGATAAGGATGCGCAAAGAGGTGCTAGGGCCAGAGCATCCTAACACTCTAAAAAGCATGGCCAACTTAGCAGCAATATATGGAGGTCAGGGGCGATGGAAGGAAGCAGAGAAGCTGCAGGTACAACAAATAGAGATATGCAAACAGGCACTGGGGCCAGAGCATCTCCTCACTCTGGCCAGCATGGACAAGTCAGCGTCATCATACCGGAGCCAGGGACGATGGAAGGAAGCAGAGAAGCTGCAGGTACAAGTAATGGAGGTATACAAACAAGTGCTAGGGCCAGAGCATCCTGACACTCTAAAAAGCATGGCCAACTTAGCAACAACATATGGGGATCAGGGACGATGCAAGGAAGCAGAGGAGCTAAATATGGAAGTGATGAGGATCCAGAAACAAGTGCTAGGGCCAGAGCATCCAGACACTCTGCTTAGCATGGCTGACTTAGCATGGACATACTGGAACCTGGGACAACAAAAGGAAGCTGAGGAGCTGCAGGTGCAAGTAACAGAGATGCACAAAAAGGTGCTGGGGCCAGAGCATCCACACACTCTGATCACCATGTGCTGCTTGGCTTTCTTCTGGAAATCCCAAGGGGAGGTTCCAGCCGCATTGGCTCTCATGGAACAATGTGATGCGCTCCTGAAGAAAGTCCTGGGACCAGGCCATCCTAGTACCTTGGCCTCTAGCGCCCTCAGGAAGTGGATAAAAGAGGACCGCCACTTCTCAGATGATCACCCGCTGCGACCTGATCAGGCCGAGAGTGATCACATCCTGAGGCGATCTGAGCGGCTGCGGCGGTCACTACACCTACATATGGAAAGGCACCAAAAGTGAATAGGATCAGCAACCCCTGCAAGACGGCTCCTTGAAAAACATTCTTTCCTCATGACCTCCAGAAGCATTTCACCTGTGCCGCGAACTCATGACTGAAAAGACGTGGATTGAGTAAGGTGGATCTTACGACATGTTGCATCGGGGGGCGTGTCCTTTTCTTGTACAATCATGAAGAGTCGTGCCCAGGGTGGAAAGAGAATATGATTTCGATGATTTCTCACTTGGAATCAACGAAAAGACAACGCCAGGGGCGCCGTTAAAAGTCTGCTGACTATTGTTGAGATTCTCTTCTTCCATGTATGTGCATCTTCATGCGTCTGGTAGCTGGAGTAAAGTATTAACTGTTGCATACTAGTCAACGCTTCATCTGTGAAGACACCACAGCTGATCCCTACATCGTTGTCCTCTATACAGACGTGTACTCCAACTGGGACAAGACAGCGCGTGTCTTTTCTGCGTCAGAGCTGCCTTATACGAGATCGCCGCCGAAGTGTACTGTGTCGAAAGTTTGACGGAAGTGAAGTCAAAAAGTATTTTGCGCAGTATGGGGGAACAGTGATGATGATGGGAAGCCGTTGATCACTGCGACAAGTGAGCAGTTCAAAATCTCAAAGTTGCACACATTCGACCACGCTGTCTGACATCGTTGGCATCGGTACGCCATCATAGATTCTTTGCTTCTGCTCTATTGCTTGCTCATATGGCATTCCAGTGACAAAGAAAAGCTTGTCGAATTCCCTGACCGATAAGCGGTGAATGGTAATAATTCAACAACATGGATGAATCTATTATCTATCTATCTAACCGAGTACTCAGAGACGTAGAATGGAATATCAGAGAAGAATCGCCTATTTACCATCCAAATTCGGTTAGCGCGGGTTGGACGGGTCACGGTCCTCACGGAGTATATCATCGCGGTCTGCTTCATCTGTCAACTCGCAAATTGCATCTCTCCATCTCATCACATCTTCCCATTGACGCCTTGTTTCCATTGCAGCCCTCTCCAGATTTGTTCCTCCACCTACTATCAGAACACATCGACATGATGTCTTGTAGGACTGGTATCTCAGGTCCCGCAATCTCACTGGACTATACGGACAGAGATCATGGCGACGGCCTGAATTACTGGTCCTCCTACTATTTATCGGATGCTGGCTCGGACCCTAGCGATGACGACCCTCATGAGTGGTTTGCCCGAATGCGACTTGATGGTTCATTCATCACACCAGACTCTGACTTGGATGATGACTTTATCTACTACAACAACCGACCCCTCTACACCACCGAGGAGTTCGAAGAGACGGAGAGGCGCAGGGATGACCACGACGGCCATGACGACTTCAACCGGCATGACTGGTTCGCTCAAATGCGACTTGATAGTTCAATCATCACACCAGAGTCTGACTCGGATGATGACTTTATGCACTATAATAACAATCGCTCCATCCCCGAGGAGGTCGAAGAAACCGATAGGCCCACGGACGGTGACTACCCAGGTACCATAACCATCCGACCTGGCGAATACAACCCAGGCACCGGACAAGTCATTCCCGAAAAGTTCACCCCGCCCAATCCCTCCATCAGGCCACAGGACCTCTTCCCGCCGGGTCGACGAGAGGATACGTCCCCTCCTGTCCGTCGGTTCATCTCGCGGTTGAACACGAACGAGATGCTCATCTACACGGACGGCGCCTGCCTGGGCAACGGCCAGGCGAATCCGAGGGCAGGCTGCGGCGTGGTCTTCAGAGAGGAGCGGCCGGGACGAAGGGGCCATTTTGCGTTCCCGCTTGAGCTGCAGGGTCCGACGGGGCACTTGCGTCCGCAGACGAGCAACCGGGCCGAGCTGCGGGCTGTGATTGCCGCGTTGCAGTTCCGCTTTTGGGCCGGCGAGGGGTGGACGAAGGTTGTTATCGCGACGGACTCGGAGTATGTGGTTGAGGGGGCAACGTCGCGGATTAAGGGCTGGGTGCGGAATGGGTGGCGGACACGGAATGGGAGGTCTGTCAAGAATAAGGATCTGTGGAAGTGCTTGTTGCGATGGTGTGAGGATGCGGCTACGACTCGGGCAAAGACGAAGCTTGAGTTCTGGCGGATCCCGCGCGAGTGGAATGCCGAAGCAGATGGGTGGGCTAAACATGCTGCTGCTCAGGATGAGAGGGCAACTGTTTTTGTGAAGCCGACGGGTTATCTGATTTAGGATTCTTCTCTACCGTTGCCCTCATATGAAACAGGACCATCGTCAAGTATTGTCCTGTAAGCTGAAGGGGAGTATAGCTGGAAGTCATCTGCTTCTGCATGATTCTATCAGCTCTGCAACTCGACCACCGTCCACGTATTCGTCCACCCGACCTTCCCTCCCAGCTTCTCCAGAACCCGCCTACTGGCCCCGTTCGTTGCAAGCACATTCGCATGAACCCATACCTCGCCTTCTTCGCCAACCTCCCGCCAGATCCCTCCTTGCGCCATCCCATGCCGCATTACCTCGCGGGAAAGCGCTTCAGCGATTCCCTTGCCGCGATGCCCGGGCTCAACGAACAACGTCGCCAAACTCCCATCAAGGCCGAGAAAGACCCATGCGATGGGTGTCTCCTCCCCCTCCAGAGGTCGATCAACATACACAGCCACTCCGGGGATTCTGGACAGGGTCTCGTCCGAGCGAGGCAGATGCGTCCGGCTACGCACCAGCGAGTAATGGTGCGGGAGGACTCCCGTCCGCCCTTGCTGGTCATAGAGCCGATACCCGGGTGGTAGTCCTGCATCTAATCTCTCTGAGAGCGAGTGCACATTCCGAAATAGGTACTTGACATATGGGGGATTATCGTAACGGTGGATGTGGATACCTGGTACCGGCTCCGGGTCCGTATAAATCCCCGACTTCTTGAGCAGGGCCATGAGGCCAGTATGCAGGTTGCCGACGAGAAAGGCCTGCGGCGGGGGGGGCGGCACCTGACCCGGCGCGTTGGGAGGACGAGGAGCTACGCTTGGGGCAGTAAGAGAGGCCAGGTACCCCGGCAACAAGGTCGTCTTGATATACGAGAATAAGGCCAATAGTTGGGCGCGAGCGAGCGCTAGAGTTTCGGGGGGAGCGTGGAGAGTGGAGATGACAGCAGGATCCTTGTCGTCATCGACAGACTCCCGCTCGAGACTCGAATAGACGGTCATCTGCGTCTCTCGCCCACGTGGAAGATCCACATACGCAGCCAGCCATGGTCCGGAGGGAGGCTTGACCCCTGGGAATGTCGTCAGCAGTCTGGCCGTCTCTGACGGGAATGCCAGGTTGTGCTGCAGACGGCGGAGGAGAGGAATCGAATAAGGCAGCTGGGATTTGAGCAGGGGGAGGAGCGCCCGGGGATCATCCTGGATGGTGATCTCAATAAACCCCGAATAAAGCCTTTGATCACCGACTGTCATTGTCAATTGATTTGAGAATAGTGCGGGGCATTCCTAGGCACCATACAATAATTCAATTTCACTTGCACCTGAAGCTCTCCCGCTATAGAGTACGGACTACACTATTGAGTCATCGCTTAATGAATCACTAGTTGATAATCTATCCCCTGACTAACAGCTGTCGCGAAGCTTGGCTCCCGCATAGTCGGACAGTATTTGTCATTCTGATTACCAGGCTAGGCATAATCGGCTGCACATCAGGATGCCCAAACTGTGGCGGTGCAACTGCAGTAGATCTGACGGGTCATTTCATTTCACTACTACTGACTACGTATTATCTAAATACCCTGGGCAGGGATTGTTATTGGCTGCTGCAGCTCGTGCTTACTGAAATTGTGTACCCTGTTAATGCCAATAGTTCGCACGGATACCCTGTTTAGCGTCGCTGATTGCCATGTTATCTTGGAGGAGGAATAGGGGGATGCGGATTCGTGATTATTTTCCGGGCTCATGGTTCCTTCCTATCCTGGTTTTGTCTTCGAGTTTGCAGGAGTTGAGTTGAGATGTAGATAATTGCATTGTGATTGTAGCTGACTACAGGGTATAGTCAATGAATGATAGATATCAGCTGTACTCGTATGCTCGGCGTGGATATCGATAACAAAAGAAATATGTGAGGTAGCGAATGACAAAAGAAATATAATATCATGAATCATAAGTCATGAGCATCACCCCTAGACCTCCCTGCCCCTGCCCCTACCAAGGCCTCCTGGGTCCCACCATCCAATCCTCCATCGCCAACCAATCGCTCCACCTTGCATCCGCAACCCGCAGCTCCTCCTCCGTCGGCTCGCGCAGCGGCCGCAGAAACGGCGCCTGCTGGTCAGGAAGGATGTCATACGCGCTCTTCGTCGCCGCCCACCCCCCGCTCTTCGCCGCGAAGAGATAATTCAGCCGCTCCTGCTGACGGATCCCGCCCACCCCCGCCACCCAATCCTCCCCGAAGAACAGCTGCAGGTTCGCGGGGGTATCCTGGCCCGTGGCGACCAGGCGCCGGATGTACGCTCTGGCGGAGACGGTTGAGGCGTCGACGGCCTGCCCTGGTAGTCGGATGTTGAGAAAGGAGGCCAGTGCCTGCACGGCGGGACTGTGCTGGCTCTCTGCTAGGAAGAAGCGCGTGCAGCCTAGGTACCGCGTGTACCAGTCGGTTAGGTCCAGGGTGGAGAAGTCGGTGTGAGTGTCTGTCTCTGTCTCTGGCTCTGGCTCCGGGGCCGGGCCCAAGCCCAAGCCCAAGCCGGGGGCGGGCCATGCTGATGCAGACGGAGATGGACACTCGGTTACTGAGATGGTGGAGAGATTCGCGCGGCTGCCGGGGGTCCATTCAGTCTCCATGTTCATTGACTCTGGGAGGGTCTCAGAAGGTGTTTCAGAGTGGGAGTGCGGGGTATGTATGGGGATAAGATAGAGGACAAGGGTGAGGACTTGGGGACTTACTTGCGGGAGAAGAGGACGCTTGCTCGTCCGTATAGGGAGAACTTGGCCAGTAGTCTCTGGCGGAAGCCTGAACGTGCAACGTCATGGTTGATACGGGACATAAATGATGAGTGACCAAGGTTTGGTTTCATCTAATGGAGTAGTTTAGTGTCGAGGTAAAACAAGTCTGAGGCGAGAGCGAGCGAGGGGTCCATCTTATAGATCTCAGCCCCCAGTCCCATCCCGAGATACGAAACGAGACGGGCATGCCGAAACCAGGCATGGAAGCAGAAAATGAAAGAAGCTTCATTCGGTCTCGGCAGATAGTTCGTGCACGGGTCTGGCAAGTGGAGTTTGCTCTGTTGAGTAAAAGGTCACTGATCTGACGACTGTGATGCTTTTTTCGAGCAGACTAGTAGGCGTCTATCGATCAAGGAGTCAAGCCACATCTGCACCAGCCACAGATAGAATGCCACATCTTAGCCACATCTTGCTTTGATAATGTGGTTTGACCAATCATCTTGGGCCATAAGGCCAGTGGGTCGTGTGGCTGTGCTATGCTTTGTCATGCAATGGTGGATATCGCAGCCCAATATTCTGTAGGCCCGGACATGAGCGACTGTGTAGACTCCCTAGACCAGGACTACTCCGTAGAGGAGAGACCATTGACCTGCCGATCCCGAGTACCTGGACAGGATCACACACTAGAGTAAATGATTTGGAAGACTCAGGCACTAACCCTCCATCCTTGTAGATCCGCCAGTCTACTGGATGCTGGACCTGGCTTTTATGATCACTATTGATTCAGGGCCTGGTTCGATCCATACCGCGGTGGATAACGCCACACTCTATTGTGCATATCACACACCCCTAGTTTGTCACATGATCTGCGGTCCGCACATCTGTAGGTTCGGGCCCATGTATGTAGACAGCAACTAATAATTATACAATGATCAGTGGTTTAGTGCTATACTATCATTCTAATAGCTAAGATTTAATAGGCCATTGAGGGCGTTCGCGGAATGGAAGGAGTTCTGGGCAGACCTCGCAGGTTTCGCACTTGGGTGACTTGGCAGGGTCATCATTAGGTAGGCTAGAATCTAGATGACGCCCATATTAAGAGGTATTAGAAGCAGAAATCATTAATGGTGTTAGATTCGGAAATTGTATTCCTCAGGAATGTATACAGTATACATTTGATATAGTAAATCAGATTTGTGTTAGAGTTTGATTTCCTACCATGTGAATAAAGCACCTGTTTAGGAGCTGAGATGTGGCGTCACCCGCCAAGATGTGGCGTATCCAGGGCCTTGATTATTTAATCTAATCAGTTAATAGTCAGGGATCCCTCCTCAGAACAAATGTGACAGCTCTGTTGTGGAATCCATCGGGCGCACTCGGTCTAGTCGTGGTTCCTCTGGACGATAGACCTGAAGATAGACCTGAAGATAGACCTGAAGCAGGGATAGGTTCTTCAAGGCACGCATGGTGGTCAGCGTGAACTATAATAGGCTCAGGTGATACTACAGGGTAACAGGAATGTGGGTGACACAAGATGGAGACGGTAACATAAGTCTCAGGATTGTACAACGCATTGTACAACGCAACAACGTCGAACGTGGTCTGGCTGTGACGACTGACGATTCTGATACTCTGAGGGTGTACCAACCATGCAAGGGGGAGCTCGAAGTCTCAATATGATGATGTCTATTTTTGTAATGATTGTTGGACTAACTGGGACACTAGCAGACTAGCTAGGATATTAGACCTGGAACTGGGAATTATGGACTGCGGCTGGACAGTCAGCAAAGCATTTCATTAATCTCACTTGACTCCTCCCTGATTGAATGACATTAGGTATTATCTTATGAGGTGTGAGAATGAGAAAAACTAAGTTACTAGTGTGAGACTAACAGCCAAACGATCTGAGTAAGACAGGGACCAGCCAATGGCGGTGCCACAGTACTATTCCCAGTCTGGTGATGGATGAGATCATGACTCTGTCCAATACAAATCACCACCAATGATTTTCTCTTGGGCGAGGGAAAAAAGGCAAAAGCCAACTCAGATCCAGGGTTTATGACATGCGCACAGATGTACCCCACCATCATGTATCTAGGTGTGTGGTACCTGGATTGTTGTAGAGTGGCTGACCTGACCTGACCGACCTCCACCAGCCCAACCATCTCACCTCATGCAGGGCACAACCTAAGGAAGATGAAGATATATAGCCTTCAGCTCCTTTCCAAGAGTCAGTCTGAACTCTGCACCCTCAAAGTCAAACCCAAATATCACATCTTATCAATTTTCCTACTCCACGTTCGTTATGTGCTACAAGTCCAACTATGAGCCTTATGTATGTCTTTCCACTTTAACCCAAAGAACAGCACTAACATCATCCAGACCAGTCAAAGCCTTGACATCAAAAGGGCAGAAGACCTCTCGTCAGAAGAGCTCCTCAACCCATTAGGTTCTCTCTATCCTCACGTCGTCGCTCTCCAACTCCAATCCGACGACACCCCATGGATCCGCGCCAAAAACTCTGCTGGCTATCAAGACAACAATTCCTGGGCCGACATATACTCCACAGACGATTATTCCAAACCCTCGGCGCGCAGGAACAGTGGTGAGTTTATCTCTCTATCTATCACATTTGATCCATCATTTGCGGAAGACTAAAGCTAACATGACTTAGACTCCACAGCCTACCGCTTCGTCTCGCGAATCCGCCGATTTCTCACACGAGATGAGATCAGGCGACGCCAACGAGCTGCATAGCCAGCATTCTTCACCGTCTTTTCTTCCATTCCCAATTTAAGTTTTGATTCTTTGAGACCTGCAGGATCGGGCTTCTACATGAAAGTTTCAGAGTCCTACAGCATACCCTGTCTTGCTCTAAATTCTTTTCCTTTGTCTGCATCAGTCCTTCATGTGTCTGTCTCAATCTCAGTCTCGGGTTTGTTTTGTTTCATCAGGTGGTTAGGTTCAGATTAGCGAGGCGTTCAGGGCTCTCAAGCAAGGAGAGCAACAGCATCATCACGAGCATATTAGTTTAAAGTCCATGTCATTGCGAGACAACACGATACAAAGTCAATTTCAATTTCAATTTCAGATCAGCAAGTGAATCTTATCTAAATCCTAACCCACTTCGAAACGTGTACGAACACCCTTCCACAATCCATGCAAAGAGTGTTCTAGTTTAGATGTCTCACATGCCGGCTCTTCCAGATCACATAGACATACATGCAGCTGCAGTGCTAGCCAACCAATAAGATCAATGTCCTTGACGTTCGCTCACGCGGAGGTAATTGCTTCTTGCATTGGAATGTATCAGTAGCAGTACAGTAGTAGTATCAGCGTCCGACTCCATTTGTCCGATGTAAGGTAGACACAATAGACGAAACACGAGGGGGTCGGTGTGTGTGTTGACTTGCTCATGCACGAACCCAAATGACTACGACTACGTATACCCGAGTCCACCGCACTAACATGCATGCATACTGCTAATACGAAACTCAGAATGCAATACATCTCATTCTACGATTTTGTCTTAAGAGCTCTCTCTCGCCACGGGCAATAGAAATTGCCGAGATCTGCCAGATGGGGTAAGTATACTTACGGAATGTAAGGTAGTCTGAGTCTGAGTTGAGTCTCCATCACCGAAGATAGACACGCAGTCAGCATCGCTTTCATGCATCCTTCGAGCGAAGTCTTTCATCAGTTGAATCAAGAAATATGCTCAGGGTAAGCCATAACCGTAACCATCACCATCACGACATGATCATGGTTCAAAACCTATATGCATCCGTACCCTGTGACCACTGACACATACCAAAACCAGAAGCGAAACATGCCCTGTTCCTGACTGACACTGACCGCTCCTTTCATTCTTTTCTTTTGCGAAGCTAGGGGTAAGGGGTTAGTGATGCTATGCTGATGCTGATGCCACTGTACCTGCTGTGGCCTGTAGCCTGTACGGTGTAGTCTACCCTCCCGCTACTGCGATGTTAGCATTACTACTGTACATTCAGATGATACATGATATATCACAGGGCGAGGTGAGGTGCATATGCCCGACTTCAGGCATGTTCAAGGCTTTTTCGCGCTGCAGGCGCTGTGAGCCTGTGAGCCTGTGACTGTGCACCTGCGTCTGTCTGCACCCCGCAATCTGCATATCATTTCAAATCACCATGTCCGTGCCTGGTCATGAGCACTTCGGAGGGGAATGCCTCGACATATCGCGTGCTCTGTATCATATCTACATGACGAGCCGGGAACGGGCCGTAGCGCCAGGGGCAGAGTTAGATATTATATTGTCCATTCATTGTTCAGGTTCTTGCAAGTCCATCTCCCCGTCCATATCCTTATAGGTCAAGTGGGTATAGATTGGCAAGCGAATATATCAACAACAGAATTCAAACTCCAACTCCATAGCAAGTAAATCAAGGACAAGAAATTTTCCCTCCTGGATATCCAGAATGAGTCATCACAAAGGAAACACTCCGCGTCGTGCAGTATAACGAGAGACAAACCCTGAACGCCAGCCATCCCGTCATCTTGGTCATGATCATCAGTCGAGAATCGATAGTTTATGCAATGATGCCGGATGCACCAGACCCCGTCCCCCAGCGTAACCGCTTCAACCCGCCCCGAACGGCTTCTTGGCCGCAGCCTGCCGAAACCCTGCCTCCCAGGGCCCCCGCCCCTCCGTCTCCCATGACCGACCCCACGCCAGTGCTTGACTCCAGCCTGCCAACTTCGCGTCCAAGTACATAGCCCGCTGAGAAACTGATGGCCGAAAAGAGCACCACAACCCCGGCGCTGATCACCCACGTCATAATGGTTGGGCTGCCTGTCGACATGGACTCGGCCATTCCCGCTCGACGGCTCTTCTTTGCCACAGAACCATGTCCGCTGTTCCGTTCCTTGGACAAGCTGGATCGACGCTTGGTCCGGTGGGTGTAAGGCGTAGGATCTGCGTGCCTTTTGCTGGGGGGATGGGACCCGGTCGAGGTGGTCTCCGTGGCAGACTGTTCCTCCTTCTCGCCGACCTCCTCTTCTCCCATCGCGACCGATTCGGGCACCAGGCGGAATGATGACGGTGGCCCTCTCGAAGGCTCAGCCGGTGAAGGCTGAGGATCGGACTTGGGCAATCCCCTTGCGGCGGCAGCACACGAGAGAAGCGTGGACAGACTAGCACGAAGAGCAGCATCGTGGTCTGCATGATATGATGGTGAGATCATGTTGTACGGGCTGTGCTGAGGCCTTCTGTTCGACCGTACACTGGCCTGCGAGTTTCTTCGAATCGCAGTCTGACGACTCGAGTTGGAGACTGTACTGGGCTGAGATTGATGGGTACCCGTTGCTCTCGTCCAAGAAGGGTTCTCGGGTGGATGAGAAAACACGTTGGGCTGCGGGACAAAGGGCGATGAGCTGATCCGCATCCCCAGCGCCGTTGATGCGTCGTCTTCATCGCTCGCAATAGTTGCATCGGGCTCGGGCAAGGCAGGGTCGGACCGCGAAAGGAGAGGCATCTCCACGGCGGGTGCGCGGGTCATGTCTTCGTTGGAACTGCTAAGCACATGGTCTGATTCACTTTCACTTTCGTCATATTCATCCTGGCTACTGCTGGTCTCCCGCAACGGATAGTCGACGTGCGCTGTGGCCACGGCTGCCAGTTGTTGCAAACGCCGGCGCCGGCTACGGTGGTGATAGGACCTGGATTCCCTCCGCTCGACACGCAGGCCCGTAGTAATAATATCATCGTTGGTTGCGGCGGATGAAAGGGAGGAAGAGGACGGTTGGGACGATACTTCGATCCACGAATCTATATAATACCGAAGTGAGTACATTATGCCACGATTGTTGATATCGATTATACACGTTGATCAAATATGCGATCGAAGGAACATCACCGCAGCGAGGTAACAAGTATATCAACCAACTGACCTTCAGATCTCGTGAGCGCAGCACCCGATGGAGACCGTGACTGAAGGATATTCTCCCGAAGCGGCTGATGAGCCTCTCTTGTCATCCGGGGGGCAGGTCGGCACTCATCCTGTTGCGCCTGACCCAGCAGGTCATAGTGATTTGGCTGCATTGTCTGTATCTACAACTCGACGTGCGAGATTCGATCCGAAAGACCCTATCTAGAATAGAAGATAGAAAGAAGTTTGAACCATCTGGTTCGACTAGGAAAAGAGGGGTGTCAAGTCAGACCACACAGGAAGAGAGAGCGGTCAAGGACTCAAGGCAGGCCAGAACAACCGAGTAAGGAAGCTGATAGGAAGCCGGTGGTGGGGAACAGAACCACCGGGTCGTCAACCAAGCAGCGCGGCAGCAGTAGTATTATCTTATCAAGGTGGAGTCCCGGCAAATCTTTGGCAGAAGATCATCAACCAGGTTTGTGATCGATGACGATAAGTAGACCAGATGAATTAGGTCGATGAGGACATTGGAAGGCCAAGTAAGAAAGGTAGGGAGGGAGGGCTGTCTTGGATGGTCGGCGCAATGAGTGGACGTCAGAGGATCACCAGACTGTGGGCAGGTGACTTGGGCGCGCAGAGGAGAGAATCACGCACACGACCCAGTAAATATAGACCTCTGGAAAATCAGAAAGGGTCAAAACTTACACAACAAAGAACCCACATCTAAAGAAAAAGAGGAATCAAGAAGAAGGGGTCTCTAGAAAGGAGATGAAATACGATGCAGCATAATAAGCATGAAAGATAGATAGGCAGAGACGTGGATGACTGCTGATCAAAGAAAACAGCGCCAAGATTGAAGCCACAAAAGCGGGGCACCAACCACATCCCAGGCAGTGCTTGTGCTGTCGATCAGCAACTCTGATATCACCACAGCACTGGACAAATGCTAAACAGCCAAACAATAATTTGAGAACGTCAGTGACCATTCATATTACCCTAAGTAGTCGACCTATGTAGTACAGACAAATTCCCATCAGAACTTAAATGACCAACTTTTTGGAACCCATGCAACCTAGACATAACCCAGATCTTCTGTAAGCCGTAGAGAAGAAACGCCTAAATCAAGACACCATGTTGCTACTCATCTAGAAGGTGACCTTGGTGCCCTTGTACTCGGGGATACCACCACGAGCCTTGTTGGGGGCAAAGCCGCCGCGACCGCCGAAGCCTCCACGACCACCACGGCCACCTCCGCGAGAACCACCACCGCGAGGACCACCACGGCCACCGCGACCGCCGAAGCCGCCACGACCACCACGAGGAGCATCCCCGTTGCTGGGACGGGGAGTGCTGAAGTCGAGACGGACGGAACGGCCGTTCAGCTCGGCGCCGTTGAGGTCGTTGAAGGCCTGGCGAGCCTCGTCAACAGAGGAGAACTGCACGTAACCGAAGCCCTTGGGGCGGCCCGACTCGGGGTCGGTGGGCAGACGGATTCCAACAATGGTACCCGACTGACCGAACAGTTCGGAGACGGAGTCCTCGTTGGCGCTGAAGGGGATGTTGCCGACGAACAGGGTGTCGCTCTCAGGGCTGGCTTGGTCACCGAAGTTACGAGCGCGAGCCTGAGCGCGGTCCTGGTTGTTGTCGTTGTTGTTGTTGTTGGCAGGGCGGCCAGTGGCGTAGTCGAGGTTGATCTTGCGACCATCAAGCTCAGTGTCCTTCTTGGCCTGGTAAGCCTTGGCAGCGTCGGCAGCGCTGACGTACTCGACGTAACCGAATCTGGATGCAGCTTAGCAAAGTGAAGAACTCATGACTAGTGGACCTAAACTTACCCGCGGGAGCGACCAGATTCGCGGTCGGTGACAATGCGAGCACCAGAAAGCTCACCGAAGCTCTCGAACTCCTGGCGGAGCCACTCCTCGTCGACGTTCCAGGACAGGTTACCGACGAAAAGGTTGGCAGAAGCGCCGGAAGCCTCCTCATCAGTCTTCTTCGACTTCTTGGGGGCGGCAGCAGGCTCCTCCTCAGCCTTGCGCTTCTTGGAGGGCTTCTCAGACTCAGACTCGGACTCGGAAGAGTCGGAGTCAGAGCCCTCGGAGTCTTCAGACTCGTCAGAATCCTCAGTTTCCTCGGAAGATTCCTGAGACGGTCAGACAAAATTATAAACACTGCGAGCCACAGGTACATACCTTCTCAGCCTTCTTAGCCTTGGCAGGAGCCTCATCCTCGCTCTCAGACTCGGACTCGGAATCCTCGCTGTCGCTGGAATCCTTCTTGGCGGCCTTCTTGGGAGCCACCTCCTCTTCGTCAGAGTCGGACTCGGACTCAGAATCAGAAGAGGATTCAGCCTTCTTGAACACCTTCTTGGCGTCCTTCTTGGCAGGCTTCTCATCCTCGCTCTCACTCTCGCTGCTGGAAGCGTCGTCCATCTCCTCGTCGCTGCCAGATTCCGACTCGGACTCGGAAGAGGATTCGGCCTTCTTGGACTCCTTCTTCACCACCTTCTTGGTAGGCTTCTCCTCGCTTTCACTCTCACTGCTGGAGCTGGTGGACTCCATCTCCTCATCGCTGTCAGACTCGGAGCTGCTGCTAGGAGTAGGCTCCTTCTTCTTGCGCTTGGACTTCTCCTTGGAAGCGAGCTCGCGAGCGATCTGCTTGCTCTTAGCCTTGGGAGACTGGGAAGCCTTGGTGACGCCAGCGGCCTTGACCTTGTTCAAGGCCTTGTCGACAGGCTTGTCGGCACCCTTCTTGGTAACGGACTTGGTCTTAGACATTTTGTACTATGAACGACGATGATTAGCTTGAGCATCAACAGGCGAGATCAGAGATTAGTACATACAATGAAAGTTCTTTCAAAAGTGAAAAGTTGTAATTGTGCGGCAAAGCCTACAATCCCTCAATCACCCGATTTGAGTTAGAGCCCCCTGATATGAAATCCAGGAGTGATGACCTTATCACAGCTGGACGTAAATCTCAACACAAATGGAAGAGATTTAGCACAAATACCCACAAGTAACCCACAACGACAGTGTTCAAGCCCACAGAGACGGAGAGGAAATATGCACTCGTCTATAATATGAAACCCAAGAGAGTATCCCACAGATCCCAAAGAATAGATTGCAATATGCCACAGCCCACAGCCCTCAATGTATTAAGCCCACAGAATGTCTGTTGAAGTGCACTTTGCAAAGTACGGCCCACGCTGCTGCGTCAGTTAGAAATATAGTTTCTTAAGGAGACTGAGGAGGTTCACTGAATCAAAAATGACTCAGGTGAGAAAGATGTAAGAAAAGTGAGTTGATAAAGGGAAAAAGTGTGAGGATGAAGAGAAGAGAAAAAAAAAATTCTCGAGAGCTCTGATAAGAATTTAGAGAAAATTTCCGGAGGTTGGCAGAGATTTACGCACACCGCCTACTTTGTAGCAGCTAGCTCAGGCAGTATGCCACAGTTGCTTAAGAAAAAGTGGGTACCTGGCAGGTACTCGTTGAGCACGCGGTCGGTCGCTGGAACCAGAGTGTCACTTGCTGGTACTAGCATCAAGTTCCACCTCCGCGGACCACCGCAGCTTCTACCCCAAACTGCTTGTTCGACTACCACTGGCATTCTCAGATTCTTACCAATCGGATCTCTCTTCTTCGGAGACGGACTAGATTGAGCCAATGGGAGGCAGGTGATACTGCTGCTGTCTGACCCCATGGCTCCTCCGACTCCTTCATCCCATCGGCCACGGAAGAGGAGAAAGTATCCCACTGGCTCGAACAACTCCCTCATTCTTGACGCTGAGGGTGGAAGATCATCCCCTGCGTTCCCTCTCGTCTCGTTCCTGTGGGCTGCTAGAGCTGGTGTATCTCAATGGCTGGTGCTACCTCTGATCCTTATGGTGGTAGGCCTCTTCCGTTGGGCTGTCAGCCTATGGGGCTACTCTGGTTTGTGCATTGCCCGCATGTTGAGAATATGCGTCCAAGTACATGTGGCTGACATATTTCTGCAGGTTTTCAGGTGCCTCCAATGCATGGTGATTTCGAAGCGCAAAGACACTGGATGGAGCTCACCATCCACCTCCCCATCTCGAAATGGTATCTCTACGACTTGCAGTACTGGGGACTTGACTACCCGCCTCTGACGGCATACCATAGCTGGCTGCTGGGGAAGATGTACGTGGATTTCTGGGACATATGATAAGGAAGGGTTCGTTGCTGACAATCAGTAGTGGAAGCGCTCTTGACCCCTCCTGGTTTGCCCTCAATGATTCGCGCGGCTTTGAGGATCCAAGATTGAAGGTCTTCATGCGGGGAACCGTGATGGCTTCCGAGTACCTTGTCTACATCCCGGCCGTCGTTAATTTCCTTCGTCGTTATACTCGGATGCAAGGTGTTCCAGTCTGGTCCGCCTCAATTGCCCTCGTCGCGATTCTATTGCAGCCCGCAACCATTCTGATCGATCATGGCCATTTCCAATATAACACTGTGATGCTGGGACTTGTTGTCGCAAGTTTGGATGCTATATTGGCCGGACGGATGCTGTGGGCTTGTCTCTTCTTTGTCGGCGCCTTGGGCTTCAAGCAGATGGCGCTCTATTACGCCCCGGTCATGTTCGCCTTTCTTCTAGGCGTTTGCATCTTCCCCAGGATACGAATTCTTCGTCTTCTGAACATAGCCATTATCACCATCCTTGCATTTGCACTATTGTTTGCCCCGCTGCTGGTCGCCGCAACCAGTGCCGAAGGTCGTGGCTATCTGAGTGCATCTCCACAACCTCCTTTGCTCCAGGCTCTGCCTATCCAGCTGTCAAAGGACTCATTCCTATACGCACCCATCTTTCAGCTGATGCAAATCATTCACCGTGTGTTCCCATTCACCCGTGGTTTGTTTGAAGACAAGGTCGCCAACGCTTGGTGCGCCATCCACACGTTCTACAAGCTTCATCGGTTCGAGGCGAGCCTTCTCCAGCGCGTCTCACTTGGCGCCACACTGGCATCCATTATAATCCCTTGTGGGATCATTTTCCACCACCCGCGAGCATCTCTACTTCTCCCAGCTTTGGCCAGCGTAGCCTGGGGCTTCTTCCTTTTCTCCTTCCAGGTTCATGAAAAGAGTGTGCTGTTGCCCTTGCTTCCCATGACACTCCTCCTTGCAAGTGATGGCGGCCTGAGCAAAGACACCCGGGCCTGGGTTGGATGGGCCAACGTCCTGGGCTCCTGGACCATGTATCCTCTTCTCAAGCGCGACGAACTCCGGATCCCGTACTTCGTCATGACGGGTCTCTGGGCCTATCTGATGGGTCTTCCACCGACTTCCTTTGAGACATATCGCAGCCGAACCCCTGTGGGCGAATCAGGTCCTGTCTCCGAGCCTCGCATACTCACGAAACTGCTGCATTCTTGCTTCTACCTGGCCATGATCGTTTGGCATGTCCTCGACGCATTTGTGCCTCCACCGGAGGGCAAGCCCGATTTATGGGTGGTGCTGAACGTCCTGATTGGCGCGGGTGGATTTGGCATTGCTTACCTGTGGTGTATGTGGAGACTGATCACGCAATGCTGGCAGATTGATCGCAAGGCAGCAGAAGAGGAGAGCCGGAAAAAGAAGCAGTGATAGCCGAGGGTCAGAGGCCCGATTTTCTTGAAAAGTTTCTCAAGTGATACCCATTTTATACTCTCAAATGTATTTTATAACCCTTAGACGGGTAGATCCGATTGTCATTTTTCCAATCTCGTACGTCCTGAGTCAAGGAGAGATGTTCTATTCTTGTCTGACAGACGCCTTGCCAGACGACTATATACCTGTAGTGTACATAAATATGCATCGATAAAAACTCCGTACAATGATGCTAATATACAAGCTAAAATCAAACCGTAGCCCATAACCCAACACCTGGCCCATAGTACAGCTGCAATTCCCAGTCCATCGCTCAACATTCAATCAAAACCGAGAGAATGTCCACATCATGCGTAACCCGGCGTAGTCAACGCATATCATATATCGCCCAACAAGATCAATGGACAACACGGTTCAGTCCACTCCACCAGCTTAAACCTTGAACCCGTATCCAGCCATGCAGGCCTTGTACTGCTCGATCAGGAGCTTGCACTCTTGAGCCGGGTCATCGGTTTTCGAGAACAACATGCAGTCATCCCGGGCAGTCTTTTCGGTCTTGCAGACGCAGCAGGGCTGGAGAGGGAATGGTCAGATCGGTTCTTTCGGGGCGCGGCGCAATGCGCTCGACCACGTACCTTGGGTTTCTCGGTTGGCGTTGGCTGGGCGGCTGCGGGAGCGGGAGTCTGTTCGGCTGCACCTGGAGAATAATATAAGTATCTTATCTGAACTTCGAGGGGGAACAGGGATTGGAATTGGAACAGGTGTTCGTGGGTATAGTTCGGTCGGAGAGATGCGGAGAAGAATCTAGAGTGCATACCTTTGGAAGAGCCGAAGAGCCACGACATGGCGGATTTCTGATTTCTGAGTGGAAAGGAATGAGGATGTGCGACAGAGATTGAGGATCTATGTACGGATTTGAAGCAGCAGATGATGACAGGCGATGGAGTTGGACTGCTGATTAATTGACTGCGATGGAGCGGAAACGGCGCATTTGGGCTCTGTGGATTGCCGGAGTGCCGCCGATTGGGGAAGTTTTTGCTACCAAGTATTTTGTTTGCATTTTTTTGAGGAGGCAAAATAATAATATTGTTGATAGCGGAGGATTTTCTCTTTCCCCTCCACATTTGAACTGTGAATACTATCACCACCTGCAATCTCTCTGACTATTAGATTACTCTGTCTGATCAGCAGTGCTTTCAGACGCACTCTCACAACTTTATATTTCTTTGGATTATTGGTTGAATCTCCATTTTTCGTTTGCCCCTGAAACTACCCCACCATGGCCCCTCCAAAGGTCTTTTCACTTGAGGGCAAAGGCCTCAAATTGGACACTGCCGAGGATATCGAAGCCCATATCAAGCCACTGCTTGAAAGCACTGATTTCACCGAGATTCGTCTGGGTGGTAACACCCTTGGTGTGCCAGCCTCGGAACGCCTGGCCCCGGTACTTGCTTCGCAGAAGAACCTCGAAGTCGCCGACCTCGCTGATATCTTCACCTCCCGCTTGCTCTCCGAAATTCCCCAGGCTCTGACTGCCCTTCTCAATGCGCTGCTTGAGATCAAGACTCTCCACACCGTCAACCTTTCCGACAACGCGTTCGGCCTGAACACCCAAGCGCCCCTCGTCGACTTCCTCTCCCGCCACGTGCCCCTCCGCCATCTGATCCTGAATAACAACGGCTTGGGTCCCGCTGCCGGTACGCTTATTGCCAATGCGCTCACAAAGCTTGCGGAGCGGAAGGAGGAGGCCCGCAAGGCCGGCGAGGAGATTCCTCTTTTGGAAAGCATGGTTTGCGGACGGAACCGATTGGAGAATGGCAGTATGGAGGCGTGGGCACGTGCCTACAAGGTACACGCCGCAGGTATCCGCTCCGTCAAGATGACACAGAACGGTATTCGTCAGGAGGGTATTTCGCTGCTTTTGAGGGAGGGTCTCCGTCACGCTAGCGCCCTGGAGGTCTTGGACTTGCAGGACAACACGTTCACCGTCATGGGATCTACTGCTCTCGCCGGTGTTGTGGCTGGATGGCCCTCTCTGCGTGAACTCGGTGTCGGCGACTGTCTGCTATCCGCACGCGGTGGTGTCAAGGTCGCTCAGGCTTTGGCAGAGGGCAAGAATCAAAGCATTCAGACTCTGCGTCTGCAGTACAACGAAATTACGGCCGAGGGTGTGAAGCTGTTCTTGCATGCTACGAAAACCGCCCTTCCGTCTCTTCGCCGCATCGAGCTGAACGGCAACAAATTCCTCGAAGAAGACCCCAACGTGACAGAGCTGCAGGAGGTTTTGGAGGCGCGCAAGGAGGAACACGGCACCGATGATGATCCGGAGGACATGTGGGGTGTGGATGAGCTGGATGAGCTTGAGGAGGAGAGTGAAGAGGAGGAGGAAGAGGAAATTGAGGAGGCCGAAGAAGAAGAGGAGGAGGAGGAGGAGCGCAAGGCCGACAAGTTCCTCAAGGACAATGTGAAGGCAGAAGACGAGAAGGTCGCTCAAAGACAGGACAAGGATGTCGATGCTCTTGCGGAGGCTCTGGGCAAGACTGCTCTGTAGGCTTTGCGGAGTCGTCTCGATTACCTGTTTACGCAGACCATTGCCCTGTCTAGTATCCCGACGCAGCGGCGACCAGGCTTATCTCGCAGCGGTCATTGATGTATGACCATACTCGACGGCATGTCTAGGAAGACATGCGGCAATACGGCACCAACAATGATGGGTGAACGGCCAACGGCACCCGCAGTGACCCTAAAATGGGTCAAATAGTGCCTCACGCCAAGTTCTCCCTGCTTCGAAACCACTACGAATGGCCATATCAGGTTGCATTCATTGCGCTGATCTCACTATAGCGTTCCAATTGCGTCTTTTACTGCACAGATACGCGGATAGATCTATGCCATCATCCCCTATTGATTGTCCCATGCAGCATGTTACTACCCCTCATGTATATAATGTTGAAAAGTGAATGAATTGATGACAACGGCCATTGCATGTTGAATCGTAGTCATTCGATGATAGCCTTGATGCTAAGTAACCTGCTGACAGAGTATCATTTTCCAAAGTTAGTACACAGTTATTCAACGCCATTTCTAGGCCTTGAATACTCGAGATACTCTATCATGGAAGCTGAGGGGCACAACCCCATACATTTGGGACTCGGCACGTGGGAGATTCCGAAAAGAGCAACGCCGGTCTTGGCGCGGAGGTTCACTAATTGCTTCATCTTCATTTACTTGTCCACCACCTTCAAGTACTCCGCCATTTTCATCTCATTTCGTCGGTCTCTCCGTTGCTCGCCTTTGCTTGCACCGTCGCAGACTTTCCTTCCCCTCTAATCCAGGGAATCTGCCCCGAAGCAGCTGATTATCGGGTCACAAGACCTCGACGTCGTGGAAGTGAGTTGAAGTAGCAGTTCCTTTTGCTTCACTGGTTTTTGGTCAAGTCTGTTTGCAGTCATTTTTTGAATGAGCTGGGCGCTTTAATAAGATGCATTGCATGCGCGTCTCTTGCTCAAGTTATGAGAGCATTTGCAGCTACTGCCGGCTCAGGCACGTGCTGCCGGATGTGCCGCGACAGTGATGGCAAACGCCTGTCGCAGAGGAATCTTGTCGAATTAGGTTGCGGCTACTTGCGACAGTTTTTACGCATTTGCCATTACATCTAAGCTTGTACCTATCGTTGACTGTTTTTGATTATGCGCTACATCTACAAGTGATTCGGTCGTCTGGTTTTGCTAAGACTGACGCAGGTACAATTCTCACGACACGTCCCCTCCCTATCATCATCCAATCTACGATCGGGATCGGTCAAAATGGCGATGGACGCGAAAGAAATCGAGCTCAAGGCGAAGGCCCTGACGAAAGCCGCCACCCAGAACGAGCCCGCAGCCAACATCGTATCACTGCTCAAGGAGCTGCAAACCGGAGTGAAGGCAACGGAGGATCTGCTACGGTCGACGCGCGTCGGAATCATCGTCAACAAGTTCAAGCAGCACAAGTCGCCCGAAGTCGCCCGTCTATCCAGCGAGATCGTCTCGAAATGGCGGAACGAGGTTAACAAACAAAAGGCCAGCGGGTCACCGTCCGTCAGCCAGCGATCGAGCGGATCGCCGCGCCCAGCACAGAACGGCACCGCGTCGCCTGCCGGGACAACCCCATCAGACAAGATGTCGAAACTCTCCGTTCCCCCAGACAAGCGGACGTGGAAGGCGGATGGGGTGGATGTCAATCAGACTTCGAACAAGATCCGGGATAGTTGCATTGGGCTCATGTACGATGGACTGTGCCTCAACTCGACTGAGTCGCCTCGAGCGGTGCTGTCCAAGGCCTGCGCGGTGGAGGCGGCGGCGTTCAGCGCTTTGGGCCCGGAGACCAAGGAGCAATACCGCACAAAGATTCGCAGCTTGTATCAGAACCTCAAGAACAAATCTAACCCGACGCTACGGGTGCGCGTGTTGTCGAATGAAGTGACGCCCGAGCAGTTCGTGAAGATGTCGCACGACGAGCTCAAATCGGCGGAACAGCGCGAGCAGGACCGCAAAATCCAGAAGGAGAACATGGACAAGGCTATGGTCGCGCAGGCCGAGCGCAGTATCAGCACCAGTCTGCAGTGCGGCAAGTGCGGACAACGCAAGGTCACCTACACCGAGGCGCAAACACGCAGTGCCGATGAACCGATGACCCTGTTCTGTACGTGTATGAACTGTGGTAAATCGTGGCGGCAGTGATTTTTGTTACCGGTGTTTCTTTTCGTTTGTTGGCCTCGTACGGAGGCCTTTCTGGTTCTATTGCCGACAGGCACGGAGTTCGAGTGGTAAAAGACGGTTGTTTTGTTTCGTCATGGGCGTGGGAGGGCTAGCCCATGAGCACTTTCATTCTGATTATTCTGTTCCTCTTCAACTCGGGTTCTCTTTATGCTAGCTGATTGAGTAGATCGAGGACATCTATACTGCACCTGCACGGCAGACAAGACGGTAGACAGCTATAATACGCTTAAGCCAATG